TCTTCGATCTCAACCGTAAGGTTACTGAGAGTTCAACTCGAAGGGGGACGAGGCAAAGGTGTTCTGTGTAACATCTCTGTCAGGGCATCAGAGGGGTCTTTGATGTGAGATCTCGTTCCACCATTTTGGAGCTGATTTGTCTTAGTTAAAATTACCATATTGACACGTTCGTCCTGTTTAGTGCCCATCTCTTGGGCCTGTGGGGCAATAAAAGTCCTTATCTGCAGACAGCACGGAGTCGTTCCGTGACTCTGGAATGTGGGCTCCAGAACTTGGAGTGTTGAAGCCATGTGAATTAATCCCATGAAAGATTAATTTGATTAAGTTGTGTTTGATTCGCCTCGATTCTCTACATATATGACGTTGTCAGTCTCTCACATCATTGGCTCACAATTGTTTACAACGTTGCATCAGTTTATTGAGGTTTGCAGGCATTTATTTATCCACAGCTCTCTTAAGGTCCCACAGCATTTCAATCGGGTTGAGGTCTGGACTTTGACTGGGCCATACAACACTTGATTCTTTTCTTTTAGGCATTCTGGTGTAGATTTACTGGTGTGCTTGGGATCATTGTCTTGTTACATGGCCCAATTAGGCCTGATGGCCTCAAATTGGTATTCAGAGGAGTTCATAGTCGACTCAGTCACTGCAAGGTGCCCAGTTCCTGTGTCTCCAAAACAATCCCAAATCAACACCCCTCCACCATGCTTAATGGTTAGTATGAGGTGTTTGTGCTGATTTGCTGTGTTTGGTTTTCTCCAAACGTGGCGCCTTGCATTATGCATTAAACATCTCCACTTTGGGCTCGTCTGTCCAAAGGACATTGTTCAGATGCGACTTTGCAAACCTAAGTCATGCTGCCATGTTCTTTTTAGAGAGAAGAAGCCTTCTCTCATACTTGTTCAGTCTTTCTCAAATTGTACTGTTTTAAAATGTTAACTTATCCCTGTAGAGTCTGAGACCATGCTTGAGGTTTTTGCAAATTTCTCTTAGCAGTGCACGGTCTGACTTTGGGGTGAATTTGCTTGGGACATCCACCCCTAGGAAGATTGGCAACTGTCTTAAATGTTTTCCACTTGTCAATAATCTTCCTTACTGCAGAATAAAATTGTTCAAATTGGTTGGGCATATCACCCTTCTTAGTGTAAATTGATGGCAGCAACAATTGCTTCTTTAAGATGATCGCTGATGTCTTTCCTCCTTGTCATTGTGTTAACATACACCTAACATAAACCCTCTAGACAGGCAAACTGCCCAAATTTCTGCTTTTATAGAGGGCATCACACTTGCTGATGATCAACTTACTCAATGTGATTCTGGCACGCTGTCTGTCAAATGGCTTTCTGTGAATACACATACATAATGTGCGCACATAAAGTCACTTCACAGACAGCACTGCAGAACCTTATTTTAGTGCTCTTTTGTATCTTGACGTCCTTGAACAGACAAACACATTTTTGGCGAACGTCCCCGTAAGCCCAGTCTTATATGAGTTAAAAGCTCTGAAATGACTAATGATTTGTGATAAATAGGATGTCAGGCATGCATCATGTGTGTCAGGTCTGATGCAGTTTACTGGCTATTGCTTAATTGATCCATTTTTCTAAATTAGTTTGTCTGTAGTAGAGCATTGGATAGATCATAGTTCAGAGCACAATGTCCTCTCTATCAGTTTACACGGTGCTTTATTAAACTTGTTTATCTGTATTCATGCCTATGAACGGTTATATATTAGGATCATTCTACTGGATTATGAAGTCATGCTCTTCTGTTGGGTTGGTTGTTAGACATAATTGACTGAATGGAGAGGAGCAGCACACTGGCTGTCCCTCTAAACAGCAGGAGGTCTGGAATCGAACCGTGTTTCCTTATAGTTGCATTGAAAGCAAGGCCGAGGGGCAGCCCTGGGGGCTTTGATCCCAGTATATCCTGAGCTTTATTAGGCAGTGGAGAATGAGTTGAGGGCTTGTGAGAATGTTCAGGTTTGAATGAAGACCCAAAGATGAGTTAATACAGCAGGGGGTCAGCAGTGTGCTCAGCCTAAGGAAAGTCGATTTTTTTTTTCTTTAGTCATGCGTGCTAAACCAAGCAACACAACTAAATACACAATTGAATTTTTTTCACACGTAAATCAAAACAGAGGTCATAATATACTGTCAAAGTTTGGGGTCGGTAAGTTTATTGATTATGCGTTAAATTGATTAAAAGTGACTGTAAAGAAAATTATAATGTTTTAAAAGATTTCTATTTCTTGCTTTTCTTATATACATTTATTCTTATATAAACACATATGCATGTATAATGGTTCCTACAAAATATTAAGCTGCAAAATTGTTTTAAACATTGATAACAATAAGAAATCTTTCTTGAACAACAAATCATTAAATAATTTTTTTTTTCTCCGTATCATGTGACACTAGCTGAAGACTGGGGTAATGATGCTGACAATTCAGCGTAGTATATTTCAAAATCTTATGTAATGTTTAAATAGAAAACTATTTTTAATTGTAATAATATTACTGTTTTCCGCCTCTATTTTTTTTTATCAAATAAAGTCAGCTTGGTGAGCAAAAGAAACTTATTTAAAAAAAAAAAAAACGTTTGACTTGTGCTGTATATATATGTGTATGTGTGTATATATAAATAAAACATATATTTTTCAGAGTATACATTTAGGCCTATAGATGAAAGTGTACAGCTTTGTTTATATTTAAAGCTATGGTATACGATGTTAAAAATCGGTCGAGACGGTAGGGAAGTTTAAAAAAACTCATCCCGCCCCTCCACACACACACCCCTCCCCTCTGTGCTACCTGATCCCTGACGTATGTCCCGTTTGAGTTCACGTCAACGCAAGATTAGCAACACATGAAATGTTCTAAACTCCCCACCACCATTATAATACTACTAGTATTGCTAAGGTTTTCAGTAATTGTTATTGCAGCACGCAGTGCATCTTGTTCAAATTCCGATCGACTCGAACAGAAACCTCGAACAAGAAATATAATTACTTTGAACCGCGATCGGCGATGCTAAACGGCTAACATTCCAATGCCGACCGGCAGCATGAGCAAGTTGTCAAACTGATAAAAAGCCACGTAACACGTCAGACCATAAAAGAATAAATAAATGTTTACCTGCTCAACAAAAAGTCATCCGTGTCAGCGTCGTTTTCAGCCCCAGATCTCCCTGAAGCATTCTCCAATGGTCAATGAAGGACGGTATATTTATCCTACTTAGAGTCCGGCGTTCTTCACATTTCTTTTTAATCTCTGATCTTTCCTCCACAGACTTTCTCTTGCGTCCAAACTTTACAGTAGAGGCAAGCAGGGGCCGCTTGCTGTTGTCGTTTATATTTTTATCCATTGCTGATCTGACGTTACTAGCTAGCTACCACAGTCTGTCAGCTGTTTGCTCACGCACGGCGGGGGCGGGTGCGGTTGGGTTGGAGACGCGAGTGCCAGGCAGAGTTTCAAGTGGAGCTGGTGATTGGATGAGAGCAGTTGACCAATATAAGCTGTGCAGCCGCACAGCTTACATTGGTCAACTTTTCTGCGGCTGTACAGCCAATAGAGTGAATGGATTTTTTTCGTTCTTTTTTCTATTCATATTGTTAGGATTGTACTATATAACCATAACCAGCATCTAAACGAGGATATTAATAATGAACAATCTTTGAAATCGTATACCCTAGCTTTAAGGAATGTTGTAACCGTTTTTTTCGTATATGTTTGCTTCTAATTTTATTCAGTTGCAATGTCAGCGGAGAATCATCTGAGGTCATGTGTAGTGAGAGCTGTTGCCTACCTGAACGGTTAAAGGCGTTTTAAGCTATTGATGGAAGGCAACAGGTCTGAAAATGTATGCGGCGTGCTTGAGGGAGGCAGCAGACTGGAATTTACAAAGCGTCGTGTCAGAGCCTCTGACACCCAGACAGCTGCTGTTTGCTGTGCAGAAAAAGAACAAAATATTCCCTTAAACCTTCTTGAAACGCTGTCAAGTTTTTTTTTCCTCCCTCACTCTCTTGCAGGGTGCTTGACGTGCCCCATTCCACTGAAGTGTGAATAAGTGAGATGTAAACTGTGTTTAACTCAGGGTTCAGAGTCAGCTTCTGCTTCTGAGCCGGAGGAATGTAGCCGATCATACAAACGTTCATGTCCAGTCATGAAACCATATTCTGGGCTAAAGAGAAGACAATTATGAAAAAATGTGTTCATAATGTAGTATATTGATGGTAGACACATACTATTCAGTTGAGAATATATCATTCCAACTAAACTGTAGACTCCAAATGTATATTATAGGAAGGAAAACATAGTTAAAAATGTGTGTTTTCATTGTGTGAACATCAAGAATAATATTTAACTAACTAAATGTCTAAAGTGGACTATCAAGTTGTATTCAATACTGTTCAAAAGTTTGGGGTTATATGATTTTTCTGATCTTGAAAAGTATCTTATGCTCAACAATATTGCTTTTATTTGATCAAAATGAAGTAAAACAGTAACAATGTGAAATTTTTTTTACAATATAACTATTTTCTTTTTTATTATATTTTAAAATTTCTTTTTAATTCTTTTTATCAACGCTGAATGTTCAGCATCATTACTCGTCACATGATCCTTCAGAAATCATTTCTGTATAATATGCTGATTTGATGCTCAAGAATTATTTCTTCTTATTATCAATGTTGAAAACAGTTGTGCTGAATAATATTTTTAAGGAAATACATTTTTTTAATTCTTTAAAAATAGAAAGTTCAAAAGTACAGCAACCTTTTTTTTAAAAACAATTTAAGTCCTTACTGCACAACTCAATTTAATGTATCCTTGCTGATTAAAAGTGTCATTTTCTTGCAAAAAAAAGTTCTGTATATAACAATAAATTATAATAAACAGTACAATTCCCTACATGAAATTTTACTAAAACATATAAATATATATCTCTATGTACAAAAGGATTTGTTTTTATTAATATTTTATTTTATGTTTGTTTTTCAGGTACTCCTCTACTAGTACGGAGCAGTAGTGATTCTGCTCTTGGACCTCCTCAGATGGAAGATATGAATGGCAGAGCCATGGTAAAACCACAATAATACACTCAAAACACCTTGAGAGTGCTGATCTCGTCACCACATAACAATATAAAAGCTAACAACTATTAATATAGATTACCATTATGTCTATAATGGAGTCTGTTATAAATACTTACAACCTGATGGGCCGTGCTGGAAACATCAAGCTAAGCAGGACATACAGGTGGTGTCCAACTCATAGCGTTTAAATTGCACCCTCGAACCAAACTGGTCTGAGCTGTTTTTTAGTGTGGTATTGAGATTTTTCCAAATATAAACATTGGTATACATAATGTTTAGTTACAATGTAATATGTTAAATCTACAAAAGTGTGTTTTCTAAGCCTCAAGTGGTGTTTGGTGGTGTTGTTGCCAGACACACATCACCTTTGAAATAATATTCAGCTGAAAACATACTTAAACCAAAAGGTTCTTACTGCATTCTAACTTATTCTTAATGAGGAAGGGTTTTGTTGTTGTTGCTGGTTTATTTTCCCAGAAGGTCTTTGTCTCAAGGTTTCCATTAAGGCTTCCAGACTAAAACCAGCAGCGAGACATCGATTCACTATTTTGTGTTCTTTTATAAGCATCCCATCTCTTTTGTTGCATTTTCATTCATTTGCTCATTTTTTTTCTTCTCCTCCCTCAATAAAATGCTCATCTAGAATAGCCCCAATGTTCTGATGAAATGGCATTTGAGCAGAGCTGTATTGCTACAGTGTGTTGAATGCATTTACGGAGCTTTGTGGAGTTAGTGAAGTATAGCCATTTGTTTCTCTCTTGCGTGCTCTCTCTCCCCCCTGGTCTGCTTAATGGACTGTCTCGCTCTCCCCCCGCCTGCTTAATGGACTGGCTCAGAATAGATGGAGTTTTTTTTATGATTACCACTCTGCTCATTCAGAGCCTTTTATTGGAGCATCGTGGATGGCTTTAATGTACTTCACCTCTCTTTCTTTCTCTCCTTTCTGTCCTCATTCTCACTCTGAAGTTCATTTTTTGTGCCTTTCTATTTTGTTTCTTTTTGCTTTATTCCTTTTTCTGTACCTGGCCACAGGTTTACAACCAGTTGCAAGTGGGTTTTTAGTGTGTGTGTGTGTGTGTGTGTGTGTGTGTATATGCACGAATAGACCATTACATGTAGTAGTAGCAGCTGAGTGACAGATGTAAGTGGCCGACACCATGCTGGAAATTAATTAGTGTTTTCTCTGTTACTCTGAGTGGGTTTAGGTCCTGTGTATGATTTATTGGGGGTTCTGTTCTCCATGGCTGTTATAAGCTGAGATCAGAGCAGAGACATTCCCGCAGTATCAAGTGGCACTGTGTCTGATGAGAAATGTTCCCTTTGTCTGCGCACCCTCAGATGGGCAGGAAACCTGCGGCACGACACATAACTTCAACACAACCTGACAGATAAAGCCTCAGTACCAAGATGGATGAGGTTATCCCTTTCCTACGGGGTCGGAAGACCTCCAGCGTCTTTCACCCCCAGCTCTCCCTGCAGGGTTAAGGGAACTCCCGCTCTTCACCGGTGACAGGAATGTGAAGCGGACAGCGGAACCTCAAGAGTATAATGTGCTCACGCTCACACACCTCTATCAGTGTTCCGGAACGCTCCACAAACATTGCCAAACAGAGACTCTTCCTTCCTGCAATTTGATTCCAGTGCTTCGGCCTCGGTCTCTGTCCGCAAGACCTTTGTCGTCTTCCCTTTGTTGTTTTGGCCTTCTTCCTTAGATATTCATTACACATTAAAGCATTTTTCTTGGGTGCCCTCACACCTGCGGCCGTCCCCGTTTCCTTTTCCCTTATTCTGCTCCGTGCTTCCTTCATCTCTCCCCTTCATCGCCTGTATGTTATTTAGCAGCCGGCTGGCTGACTCCTGTGTTTTCATTGTATTTAAGAAGCTTTATTTCCTGCAGGGCTTACAGCACCTGTGGCACATCAGAGATTGAGGTTCTCTGCTCTCTTTCTGTCAAACACACAAACTCATAGACATATCGCCTTCACTGATACACACACACACAAATGGTTTTGCAGTGGAATATGAAAAAAAAAAAAAAAAAGATTTGGGCCAGATGGTGGGCTGTTGTTTGTTCAATTTAGCCTTGTTTGCACTTTTTCTGATGTGGGAGAGGGTAGTCTTGCATTGCTAGACTTTTTGATTATTAACATAAAGATCCACATTGCAGCAGCCAAAATCCATTTTTGAATGGTAGTGTGGCAGTTGTGACACATCCGAATCCAATATCTTCACTTCTTGTCTCTTGAGATACCTTCATCTGATCGATTTTTGAAGGCAGCATAGATGTATACTTTGCTGCCTTTGATATCCCACAATCCTGTGGGTTCCATTTGGTGACTGTTGGGCTATAAAAAGAAAGATGACAGTTGCGGTTGTTTGTGTGTAAAATGTACTTTTTTTAACCAACGTTTTCCACTTCTGATGTCATTTCTAGTGATAAATTACCACTGTAGTAATTAAATATTTGCTTAGGTTTCACCAAAGCTCGCTCTTATTTTGCTATAGATCATTAAACCTTTACGCAGCCTCAGAAGTCTGTCAGAAATCAGTTTCGAGACGTACCTTCGTGCACAAATGCTGCCGGCAAAGTGCCTGATAGGGCAGCGAGGCAACAAGTCAGCTGAGTAAGTTTTGGGATTCAGTCATCGACAAGCCACAAGAAACACAAGGGATATATACACAAGGGTTAATGAGACTAACAAGATACACAAGTGAACAATCAGGGACTAATCAACATTAAAAAGTACAAAGGCCTACAAACATAATAATAATACTAATAATAATTAAATACATTTATATAGTGCTTTTTGTGTGACCTCAGAGCACTTCACATATGGAAGGGGGGAATCTCCTCAACCACCACCAATGAAACATGGCACAGAAACAATACAGAAAAAACACATAAAACAGTAAGCGCATGTAGTTAATTATTATTACTCAGTACTTTAAAGGCATAATTACACTGTAAAACGGACACCTTAAAAGTATGTAACCGCAAATGTTTATGTAAATCTTTCACAAATGCCTTGGGTAAATTGTTGGTGAAAATTTGCTTAGCAAGGCGTCTGCACTTCTGAGAGCTCATATCTAATCTTGGTGTTTCAAACTGTGGTTTGGTCCCAGTGGGCAGGCTAGTAGAGCACTTTTCCACCAGTTTAATAACTCGGAACTGTAATCTTGTAAGAAATTAAGTTTGAAAGTGTCTATTTTGAAGAGTATTTATTGCAGACTACTCCTGTGCACCTTCCTGCACTGTAGTAAATGGACCACAAACCATCTACTATCATTTCTCACATTATTATCTAAACCCTCTGTAAAACTAATAGTTTTCAATTTAAAATCAGAACTGCAGAGGATGGAGACAGCAAGATAAAGTTTGTAACCTTGGAAACTGTCATTTGCGAATATATTTCTGCAGATATTAGTCATGAGAGACAGAGATTCCGCTGGGATATATTTGTCTTGTGTGGCCTAGTCTATTTTTATACCCACATAACGTTAAAGTCCCTTAAGAACCAATTAGATATGTGGATTTGTTTTTATCTTTGCTGGTTGTTATGTTGGTGGTCCGAGTGTGAACCCAGGGACCTCACCCCGCAGTCCCACTGGCCAGCTCAGTGTTTCCGAAAGGGTCAGCCGGCACCGTACGCCTCTCATCGGGGATTAGAATTTTTAATTGTTGGGCTTCATATACCTTTGATGCACATACTGTAAGTCGTCCAGTGTCCTCTGGATAAGCACACTTTATGTTACTTTAGTTTTTGTTTTGTTTTGTTAATTAATAACAGAAAGGTTCACATTGTTTCTTCTTGCCAAGATTCTTCAAGCCAAAATTAGCAAAAATCTGCCCAGTTAGACAGGAAGTGATTCTCTGATATGTTTAAGGGTTAGTTAAACCCAAAAATAAAATTCTGTTCATTTATTCATCCTCAAGTTATTCTAAACCTATATGAGGGTTTTTTTTTTTTTTTTCGTCTGTTGAACACAAAATAATATATTTGGAAGAACGTTGATAACCAAATGTAACAAAATGTTTCTGGTAACCATTGACTTTCATAGTTTTTATTTTTCCATACTATGGAAATCAATAGGGACCAGCAAATGTTTGGTTACCAACATTCTTCAAAATATCATCTTTTGAGTTTAACAGAATCTCATAGAGGTTTAGAACATCTTGAGGGTGAGTGAATGATAATAGAATTTTCATGTTTGGGTGAATGTACCATTTAAGAGACCAACCACAAATTTTGTATTTATATAATACTATATTATTATTATTATTATTATTATTTTAATACATGGTATTAAGTAAAGAAGTAAAGCTCAGAAAACTACTAATATTAAAAATATTTTACCCGCCAACACAAAATTCACCAACAGTTGTTCACGCCCGAAGTGATAAGATAAAATAAATTAAAATAATTCGGTATCAAAATTTATAGGTAAGACAAGTAGTTTGGTTAGGCATGGTTTGTAGGGAATATACACACATATATTCAAACGCATATAACTACAGAATCAATTCTTTATGTGAACATCATCAGTGTTTATCAAGGGTTCGTGTTTAAATTCTTTTTAGAGAGAACAGTGTTATCTTAGCGGGCTGTAATTTAATAGCAAATGATCATTTCAACGGAAGTGAATCAATCAAAACTAACTTTAGCTGCAAAATAACATTATTCAAGAACCACTATAAAACCAAACCAATCTTTGTTTCCTTAATTTGTATTAAGTTTATCTCTGTAAAGCTGCTTTGAAACAATCTACATTGTTAAAAGCACTATAAATGAGGATGACTTGACTTGACTTTATTTGCAAAGCACTAAGTCGGGATTTGTAGCACTGGTTCAGCTCTTACGGCACTCTCTTGAATAGGAGTCGGGAACCTTTTTTTACCAAAGAGCCACAGAAAAAAAACAATAACAAGAATATATATGAAGAGTTCAGATGCAAAAGCCTTTAAATGCCATTTTAAATTTTCTTCT